CCTTCTGTGCTCTTCTACTCACTACCTAATAGTTCAAACTTCTTTTGTGGTCTGGCCCCAATGCACGTCTTCTACCAGTCTCCTGCCTATTCCAAGGGCCCAGATAAACAAACTGCTCAGGTACACCAAACATGCTTTCCATCTTCTATAGTTTATATCTTTACTTTTGCTCTTCCTTCCAAGTGGAATCCATTCCTTTCCAATAAATCAAATTAATCCTTCAAAATGGATTCTCTTCATCTTAGCCTGGCTATATTGCCATAAGACCTCACCAAAAAGAATATGACAACTTCAAGAAGGTAGAAAGATAGGACCTTAAAAATGTCCCTCTACATAAACACAGTAATTCCATTTGGGGGTAGGGGGGCTTAGTCTAAATGAATGAGAGATACAAGCGAAAATATTTCTCTGTATATCAAAGTTACCTGGTGAAAAACCTGTGGCACACTGATATTAGGTGGCCAAAACATAAGACTGATGAAGAAGGAATCCTTGTTGTTTTTTAACAAAAGCAATGCCTCTAGTACATCACTGAGGATCTAAAATTGATTTTAAGCACATAAGCTAAGATAAACTCCAGATGGCCAAAAACCTTAATATAGCCTTAGAAAAACTAGAAGTACATAAAATAGAACATCAAAAGGCATGACATAAATAAACCAAAAGCTTCCAGTACTGGGGTAGGGGGAAAGGGGGACACTTTAGAGAAAATATATGCAGCAAATATGACAAGGTTGAGGAACTTACAGCAACAAATGAAAGAAACATTAAGGGCTGGGGTTGTGGCTCAGCAGTAGACCGCTCGCCTGACACGTGCAAGACCCTGGGTTCGATCCTCAGTACCCCATAAAAATAAATAAGTAAAATAAAGGTATTGTGTCCAACTACAACTAAAAAATACAGATTTTTTTAAAAAAGAAAAGAACATTAAGACCAAAGCAGAATGGAAACATGCAACATGAAGAGAGATTGCAAGAGAAGACTTACAACTAGTCAAGAAACAGAAAAATCTTTCACCTTTCTCCTAACCAGAGACACAAAAACAAGATGTGATTTTCTTTTTGTTCAATAAACTTATAGGTGATGGAGCACAGTGACTATAATTAGCATTAATATAGTATGCACTTGAAAAATACAAAGAGAATACAACTTAAATATTTTTACCACCAGAAAAAAAGGTAAGTTTGGAAGAATGGTGGACATGTTAATTAGCTTGAATGAATCATTTGACCATATACACATATATCAAGACATCATGTTATACATTGCAAATATGTATGGTTTTTGTCATCTGTAACTGTCATAAAGTTGAGGAAAAATTAATGAGAAAAAGATATTCAATGTCCAGGAAAATATGCCCTCACTGGTATTATCTGAAACTTGTCATAATTATTTGGAAGGAAAATTATCAATGTGAGTGATAAAAAATAATCGAACCCAATAAAGTAGATTAAAAAGTTAAAAACAAAAGTATATATTTGAAATTGGGGTGGTGATCACAAAGATACATACATTTGTTAAAACTCATTAAATTCTACATTAAAAAAAAAATTTGGTTACCTCTCCAGGTAACTACCAAGTTGCTCTTCACTGTATGTAATTTATTAATTTATACCTCAGCGAGGTTCATTTTAAAACAATAGAAAGATAATAAAATAGTTACACCTTTGCTTTGACTATGTCATGCCCCTGTAGGAATTAAGTTTATGGAAATAAACAGAACTGAGGACAATGATTTAAATACAAGAAATTTCAATTCAGTGTGATAACTAGAAGGCTGTACAGTATATCAATATCTCCACTGAAGACTGGTTCATTTAACAATATATACAATTATGAGAAATCAAGTTTTGTAGAATATTTTAATGACCAGGAGAAAGTCTTATGACATGTCTTAAGACTCACGTGACAAAAGCAGGCTACAGAAACGGAATTTCCAGTTTGTTTATTTGCTCAGATAGATTTTCAAACACATCAGTATTTTTAAGATGATTAGATCTTTACATTTTCCAATTTTTTTGCAGTACACCTTTAACTGCAACATCAGAAAAACAAAGGATTATAGATGAGACAGGATTTTTAAAAATGTTTTTATTCATTTGCTGTTAAAACAAAGAGTGGTCCTCCTATCTGTGAGAGGTTAGAGTGATTCTGGGATAGGTAGAGGGGGAAAAAAAACCACAAACCCATGCCATATTCAGAGCTGAGTATACACATCCTCTCGTATGTTGGCCCCTTTCTGGGTCTAAAGCTAAAAATCCATCATAAAGACAGGTGTCCTTAACAAAACCTTATGTAACTTGGCCTCTACAATTCTCCAGCCACATAAGCTTTCATTAATTCATTTGATAGAGGGAATCTCAGCCTCATCTTCCCCACAGTTGGCATTTTCAGTTCCCAGGGTTTGGAATGCACTTTCCCATCATCCATGTCCTTGTGAATACCTCATCCTTCAAAACCCAACTCAATATTTGGTTACCTTGGGCTGGGGTTGTGGCTCAGAGGTAGAGCGCTTGCCTTAGCACATGTGAGGCCCTGGGTTCGATCCTCAGCACCACATTTAAAAAATAAATAAAGGTATTGTGTTCATCTACAACTATTAAAAAGAAAAGAAAATTGGTTACCTCTCCAGGTAAGTCTTCTCCAGTCACCCCAGGATACCTTCCCCAATCAAATCAAAGCCACCTGCCATTATCGTCACAGCACACTGTATTTTGCTTTCCTAGCATGTCACCATCTAATCATGTGCCTGTGGGATCAGTTCGTTAACATCCCTTTCTCCCCTAGACCATATGCTCCTGGAGAAGCTGGCTTTGGGCTCATCACACATTCCATGTTCCCAATACACTTTCTAGACATTCAATAAGTACACGCTGAATGAATGAAAGTTTCACCACCAGTAAGAAAAGGAGCCCTCCCCGATTTCAGTCCCTAATGTTTGACAGCCCAGATTCTGGAATCCTCCACTTTACTCTCCAAGGCTGGTTACCTGAAAGACCTAGGAAACCCCAGATTATATCTCCCTCATTAACAGATTAACAACAACTCAATTATCCTTCAATTCCCCAAGGTTCACTGGGGAGTTCCCAGGCCCTGGAGAGGGAGAGGAAATGCTGGTGAGTCACTGAGAGTGATTACTAATTGGGGAGTTTTTTTTTTTTTTTCCCCAAACTACTCCATCTCTCTCCATGCTGTAGTAACTGGGTGGGGAATGCATCTGGCAAGGGAACAGTTATTCAAAGATTACCCCCCTTCCTTCCTTGAGGTCTTTCCAGGTGAGGAGGTGTAATTCTATAAAAATGAACACTTCTTAGGTGCCAGGCACTGTTGTCAGTACTCTAGGTATAACTCAATACAACAACCTTATGGTCCCACTTTACAGATGAGAAAAGTTGAAGCATGGTAAGATTCAGAAACTTGCTTAAGGTCCCGAAGCCTCAAAGACATCGCTCTTAACCACTATTAGTATTGCCTCTCATATTTAAAAAGCTAATGTTGCCAAAAAGAAACATTAATGACACCCACGTGACTGCTGCAGAACAGAGCTTCTTCATTAATGGAGGCACGAGAGAGGAAGGTGGGGGTTGGCATCCTTGCAGATCACATGGGGAAGACTGCTTTCTCAGGCTGAAACTCAAGAGCTGTGATGCTTGTGGAATGAACACTGACAGGTTCCCCCCTCCCCCCCAGGAACAACAATCACTGGTCTGTGGGGAGCTTCAGCTCTCTGCCCAGAGCTGTGGGTTTTCAGCAGGAAGCAAGCCATGTGCATCAATTATTAGGAACTCTTTCATCTAACTGGGACCCCAAACACACACCCCACTTTAACCCCAGGCAAAGCGATACGATTTGATTTACAATGTCTCCTGACCCTGCAGCATCCAGAGCAAGTAGACCGTGATCCTGCAGACAATAAACGCAACCCCAAGCTAACACATTATAGGGGGGTTAATGCGCCTGAAACAAAAGAATGCCATCTCCAAACTAGCATACCCACTGCCTCCCCCGACCCCTCCCCCTCAGCACATTACCCGGCCTAGGAGTTGGTTCTCAGGGTCCACTTTGGGTTTTATTCTAAAACTGCTTGCAAGGTCGAACACGATCTGGCGAACCTGTCCGCTTCCTGAGCTCCAACGACACGTTTTCTTTCCACGCCTCCCTACTCGGCTCCTCGGAAGGGCCTTGGGGTACTTGATTCCTTTGCCTGGATTACGCCTAGATCTTGAGCCCGCAGCATCCTTCTCAACAATTAGATCTCAACATAAGCACCACCACCTTCCCCTGAGGCTTCGACCTTTAAAAGTCTTGATTTCCCACCCCGCACCCTTCCAGATTGGAAGCCCAGGCGTCGGAACCCCGGCCCACAAGCCTTTGGATACTTCAACAAATGTTTGTTGAATGCAAAAAAAAAAAAAAAAAAATGCTAAATACTCTTAAACCTGCCAACTCTCTCCACCCCCGCTCAAAATACTTGGGAGAAATTAATTCATAAAGAAAACATAGAAAAGCAACACCGTAACTCTACATCGCAAAACAAAGGCGATCACCGAGACTAAACTGATAAATGAACCACAGAAGACCCCAAGAAAAGCATCCCCTGGTAGGGCACACACTTTGCAAGAAGCGAAACCCCTAGGGCCAGAAAGAGGTTGCCGCCGAGCGGCGAGGGCTGGTGGCGGCTGAGCGCTGCCTACCTTGAACTCGGCGGAAAGTTGGGGCGTATATTCGCGAGTCCAGAGCGCGCGCACCAGCGCCGCCAGCTGCTCGGTGACCTCCGCGCGGCCGGGCGCCGCCCGGTAGCGCCCCAGCGCCAGGAACTCAGCCAGCAGGTCGGTGTTGCTGAGACACTGCACCACGGCGTTCATGAAACAGGTGTTGCCGTGGTTCTTCAAGCCCTGAGCGCCCGGCGGCCGCGCCCCGTCGCCCGCGAGGATCGGGGGCTGGGATCCGGGAGGATACTCTGCCCCGGGGCTCCCGGGGGCCGCAGGAGCCGGGCCCGGAGGGCAGACAAAGCCCCCTTCACCGTCGCCATCGCAATGTCCCTGCTGGGGCTGGGATCGGGACCGCAGCGGCGAGTCCCCGGAGCGGGAGCGACTGCCCAGCGCCAGAAGGAAGCGGCTGAAGAGGCGGCGCAGGGAGCGGCGGCGGCGGGGCCGGGGCGCGGGCGGCCCCTCTCCAGCCGCGTCCCCCGGGCCCGGGTCCATGGCTCCCTCCGGTGTGGCCCCCGGAGCGCAGCCCCCGGGCCCGAGGCCGACCAGCAGCTCTCAGGACCTTACAACCCGGGAAAGGCGCCGAGCACCGGCTACCTGCGGGCCAGGTGTGCGCGGACGGGGCGGAGGCGGAGCCAAGGGCGGGGCCGCCCCGCCCCGCGCGGGAATCTGGCTGCAGGGCCGGCCTTAGGGCAGTGCTGGGCCACCCGCAACCCCCCCCCCCCCGCTGGTCCCTCCCCCACGGTACAGACAGGAATAAAAGCGCTGGGAGACTGTCGTCGTCTGATTCCCCACCCTTCCTTACCTCTTAAAAACCAAGACAACTGGGTTTCACCTCTGCGCCCGTTCCCCGCCCATCCTTCAAGCTTTGGAAATAAAACAGGAATGGAAATTTCGAAAATGCCAAGGAAATGGCAAAGCCCTGGCTATTACTAATTCTCTTGGTTTAAAGTCCAGATGAAAACGAAGAAAAGGGAGAAAGTCTCCCAAGGGCAGCCTCAGGTGTGGTGAGAGACGCGCTTTGGGAGCTGTGAAGGGGTGGGGGAGCGCTTTTGTGCACCGCTGGTTCCCCCGCAGGCTCAGGTGTGTGCGGACAGGTGTTGCCATCTCCTAGCAGCTCATCCGCCCCTGGGAACAGGCAGAGCCTTCCCAGGACCTGAACTGGGAGCCGCGTTGTTGCCCTGGGAAGAAACACCCAAACTGCTTGTGGGTTTCTTTTTTAGGCTACAGACTATAGTCGTATTCCAAAAACTTGCGAGACTTGATCATCCTCGTTTTAATTGGTGGAGAAGTGGGCTTTGAGAGGTTCACGCAACGTAGGGGAGGCCGACCTGTAAGGAGAACCGGAACTCGACCCGGCTCTAAGGATTGGCAAGCTCAGGCCCTTTCCGACCTCAGTATTTGCTCAGCAGGAAGTTTTCCGGCTCTCAGGCGCGCCCCCTACGCCTTTGCCGGTTCACTCAACGCAAAATCCTAGCTGCACCGTGGCCCAATCAGAGTAAGTTTGGCTCTGCCAGCCCTTGATTCCCTGGGTAACCCTAGGGGGCTTTAGCTCACTTTATCCCATAACTTTCAGGTTTATAATTAATCAGGCCAGTCTTGCAAAATGAATTTCTCATCAGTTTCTAGCTGAGAAAGAGATCAGCAGGATGCAGTATTACAACAGTGCCCTGAAATGTTATTTAATAAATAAGTGATCATCATTTATTAAATATCCTTGATCTTTCAAATAGGGTAATGACAATTACCCTGGTATGACAAAAGCAGCATTAAAGGATACAGAATATGCTTAAAACATAAGACTGCTGTGGCCTGGAGACTTGAAGGGTTTCTGGGAAAAGCCCATCATTACCTCCCCTGGGAAAAGATACCCAGGTGGATGATTAATACACAAGTTTCATGTCATTACTATTCTGGTGATGAGCACTGGAGAAGGATATCATGGCCGAGTTCCATAAAGCATCTCTGAAATTTCATCTTTGAGAATTGCCCCAAGATCCCAACAGTCTGTTTCGTTACGAACCTGTTTGTGACTGTCTCTCTATAAGAAATTCTGCTGATGCTTTGACATGATTCCACTCAATTCTCACAATGGCCTTTTGAGCAAGAATTTATTCTCACTTGACAAAAGAGAAAAATCAGGTGGAGGGTATTTTAAAAGCCTGCCCAAGGTCTGGGTTTAAACCTAAAAGTCTTGCCCCATGCAGCTTGACCAATGAAAGGTCTTATTTTTAGAGAATAATGGCAATGCTCTCTGTGGACAGATCATAAGGAAAGTCTGTGGGTTTGGCAGAGTTACAGAAAAGAGATTATGACAGGAAGCCAACAACTGGGAATGTATTTATAATTTTTTTAAAAATTTCAAAAAAGTACAGTCTGGACAAATTTTCTTGAACATATTCAATTTTATGTACAATTTAAGAATGTAAAATGCATTCTATATAGGAAAGGAGAAACTTAGAGATAAAATATTTAGACTAAAGAACAAAGACGCCAATGAAAGAAATCAAGACTAGTGTGGAGCTGCCCAAATTCAGTCTTCAGCAGGACTGCGCAGCACCGTGGCCAGGGAGGTCCGGTGCTTCAGGAGGCAAACGGGTACTTCCATCGCAAAATGGCTCCATCTTCACTTACGCTAATGATGTATTGATTTCCAGGACTTATGCGGAGGCCCATGATGTTGCCGCTGTGTCCCACACCGACGTGAGTCACTTCACCCTCATTATAATCCCAAACTTTAACCAGATGATCACTTCCACCTGAAAAACACAGTTATATGGGGCTGGGGATGTGGCTCAAGCGGTAGTGCGCTCGCCTGGAATGCGTGTGGCCCGGGTTCGATCCTCAGCACCACATACCAACAAAGATGTTGTGTCTGTCGAGAACTAACTAACTAAATAAATAAATATTAAAAAAAAAAAAAAAAAAAAAAAAAACACAGTTATATGGCATCACTGCAATAGACTAGAGAGAAATGGCCCTGGTCTCAAAAAAAGTTTGTTTTTTGTTTTTTGGTTTGTTTTTTTTTTTTTGAGACAGGGTCTTGCCAAGCTGCTTATCCTCAACCTTGCAATCTTCATGCCTCAGCTTCCCTAGTCACTGGGATTACAGTGTGGGCCACTGAGCCTGGCAACCAGATTATTGTCAACACATTCACCATGTGCCAACTTAAAGAAAAACCTATCTTTATATAATGCTATGATTATAAAAATCTAGCATGCCTGGGAATGGTAACCACATACTTGTAGTCCCTGGAGACAAAGGAGGGAGAATCCGTGGATCCCAGGAAACCCAGACCAACCTGGCATAATTGCCCATAGTTGAAAAAAAAAAAAATCTATCTGTGTGTTATAGTAAATTCAGAGGGAAAATGCAAAGAGATGAATTCATCCTTCATCACCCAGAAATAACCACTAATAACATCTTGGTTCAATTCCTTTCAGTCTTTTCTACATATGTATATGTATATGTATATGTATATGTATAGACAGGTATATACATATATATGTATATGTATAGACAGTTATATACATATACCTGTATATATGATTGGATCACACTGTGTCTAGATTTTTTTGAATATTTTTTAGTTGTAGATGGACACAATATCTTTATTTTTTTATTTATGTATTTTTATGTGGTGCTGAGGATTGAACCCAATGCCTCACACATGCTAGGCAAGCGCTCTACCACTGAGCCACAACCTCAGCCCACACTGTGTCTAGTTTGAAATCTTGCTTTAAGTCAATGTGTTTGCAGAATTTTAATTCATTTAGAGTGTTTGTTAATGGCCTGAAGAATCAATCAGACTGGCAGGAAGTTATGTTGATATTGTTCCAGTCATCATATTATGTAGTAAATGCTCCCTTGAATAATGGTTAATTCATTTATTGGAGGTGGGGGGGCGCATTATAGCATTCAACAATAAAAGGGAATGAAAAGACTGGTATTTAGGACTTCAGTAGAACATAGTGAAGGAAGCAACTGGACAACCCAGGACACTTTAAACATCCATTTTAGTCATCCATACCCACCACACAAAGCAAACCCAGCAATATAAGACTTAGCTGTTATTTGTGTCCTTAAGTCTCCTCTGCAAATGTTTCCTCTCATTGAATGTGTCTTCTGGATCTTTCTCTTCCAGAACAAATTGGCTGTTGTCTTCAGATCTGAGTCTAACCAAACTACCCTTGAGACCCTTTTGCCAGCTCTTCCAAATTGCCTCCCACAAGAGAGTCTCCCCCCCCCCATTCCCATCTAAATAAGCCAAGCTTGGCTTTCTTTTCTAATCCAGGACCAACCTGTGACAAAGTGCACTCCTTCCTGGGTGATATCCATGCCATTTATTGACCCAGACAAAGAACCTTCCAACTCTCTGATGACTGACCCATCAAATACTTCCCAGTAAGCAATCTGGAATTCAGGAAAAAAGCATTAGGCAGGATTCAGCTCAGTGGAATCATCCACACACACACATGCTAACAAAAGATGGCTCTACTTTATATAGAAGGAAGCGAAAATACACCATGGGATGGTATGGGCTGAAATTATAAATAGGCTACAGCAGGGGGTGGAGAAACCATTTTAATATTTTTAGTATTCCTTTTTAAATTTGCATGCTATTTAAAGGGAATGTTGATATGCTGATAAACTTAGATTGTGACAGAAAGAGCTTTTGATAAGACTAAGCAGATTGAGTCTGTAGCAAAATGTAAAATAAAGAACCACTCATGGTTCTGCTTCTGCACCAAGAGGAGGACCGAGAGGAGGACTGAAAAGCTGCAGAGCAGGTGGGAGAGGAAGTACCTCCCTTCCAGCTGGGGAGAAGAGTAGGGAATGAGCACCCCCCAGAGTTCTGGAGCCTGGGCCTTTCAAAGCCACCTCCCTGCTGTGGTTGGACCCTCCCTCTTCCTGGACCTACACACCCATTCCCAACCCCCCTTCTGCTCCAAAGCAGCAAAATATTCCATAGGGTGTGATTTAAGGACAAATATAATGTTGGTTGCCTCCTAGAATGGGGAACATAATAGGGGTAGAGAGTAAGGTATTGAAAGCAGGGAGACTTTTATAGTAGCTATCAGCCAGGGAGATTGGTTCCAGGATCCCCCATGGATATCAAGATATGAGGATGCTCAAGCCCCTTATATAAAATGGCATAGTATTTGCATAGAACCTATGCAAATCCTCCTGTACAGTTTTGGGAATAATGGCAAGAAAAAAAAATGTGTACATGTTCAATACCGATAAATTTTTTTTTCAAAGTATTTTTGATACACAGTGGATCTGTGGGCATAAAACCCACAGAAACAGAAGGCCAACTGTGCTTACCTTTCTATCTGTCCCACTGGTGATGATTTGGAATTCTTCAGGATGATAACAAACACACTGGAATAGGGTATTGGCCAGGATCATCTGATTTCTCCTAAGACGCCTGAAAAGTAGATTCAAAGGCTGTGAATCTCAAGTTTCTCTTCCCTAGAAAATGTATTTAGTATTCAAACTGCATTTGGTATAAGCTTAGACTTGGGGCGGTTAATCTGTCTCAAAGTTCTCACCCTGCTCATCAGGGTAGCATTTGCATTTCTTCAAAATAGACTTCTGGTTATACTGCCTTTCTACTTCTGTATGGATACCTCTCAACACATCCATCAGCGACTGTCAGATGACGTTGGGCAGATAGCAGGGGCCCTTTTCTAAAGACAGCACAAAACCTAATGAGAATCCTCAAGTTCCAGTAAAAAAGGAGAAAAGGCTGAATTCAGAGCCAGCCCACTATCTCCTGCACAGTGCAGTTGATTCTCCAGGCCAACATTTGGAGCTAAGTGGAGCTCCCTTTATAGGAGTGGCTCAGTGTGGGGAAGAATCTTTTTAATGGGTATTATTGGGCCCACCCGTAGGCAGTTGGACTCAGTAGGTGGGATAGGGTCCCAGATGTGTGTTTGAAACCAGCTTGTCAACCGATTGTTCTGTTTTCAACTGTTTAGAAACCTCTGTCTTGGATGCTATACAGGTTGAGTATCACTTATCCAGAACACTTGAGACCATAAATAGTTTGAATTTTGGAGTTTTGAGGATTTGGGAATATTGCATAGATTTTACAAGTCATCCCTAATCTGAAAATCTGAAATCTGGAATGCTCTTAAAATTTCAAACTTTTTGAATGGTGACACAAAGCTAAGAAAGATTCAGATTCAGAGCACTTTGGATTTGGGGTTTTTATGTTTGTTGGGGTGTTCAACCTGTACCAAGATGTTAAGATTGTTTCTTCTTCCATGGGTCCAGTTTACAGGCCAGGCTCTTCTGGTTTTAAAAAAAAAAAAAAATGGACCTTCTGCCGGTTTCTCCTCTTTATGGAAGTTTTCAGATGTGGTATCTGAGCTGAGTGTTTTAAAAGGTTTGGGCACAAATGAGCAAAATATTCTTGCTGCCCAGTTGGAAGTCTTTAAGGATGTGAAGTGGACACAGACCATGCATAGTTTAGACACTCCCTTCTGGCTACAGATTTTCCCAATGTTGAAGGTCAAGGGTAGACTGATCCTTTTTACAAGTGTGGTTCTTGGACCAGAATTATCACTTGGAAGTTTATTAGAACTGCAGAATCTCAGGTGCCACTCTAAACCTATTACATCAAAATCTACATTTGGGGAACATCTCCAGGGGATCAGGGATCAAGGAGACAAGACATGCAGGGCTAGAAGACAGAGGCTTGCTTTCCTTTTTGCTCTTTAATGTATTAACCCTGCTTTTGCCTTCAGTCCTCAATCCCTTCTCTCCATTCAAAACATTTCATATTCTTTCACCAAATCTCCTTTTTTCCCCCATTTTTGACTTATTTTTAGTTTCTCATGTGTAGTTTTACAGTGGCAGAGAGTCCCAAGAGTGGTAGAGGGGTGATGGGGGGGTAAATGAGGGGAGGGCTTGGGAGGTTGGGGTGTGGTTCCAAAATAAAAACGTATACTGCAAGTGGGGTGCAGTGGTGCACACCTGCAATCCCAGCAACTCAGGAAGTTGAGGAAGGAGGATAGCAAGTTCCAGGTGAACCCAAGCAACTTAATGAGACCCTCCCTCCATATAAAAGTAAAAAGAGCTGGGGAGATGCCTCAGGGGTAGAGTAGCCCTGGGGTTCAACCTCTAGTGGGAAGAAAAAGAGAGAGAGAGAGAAAGAAAGATACAGTAGATGGGGTCGAGAGAGAAGATGGGAGGGGAGGGGAGGGGGGATAGTAGAGGATAGGAAAGTAGCAGAACACAACAGTCACTAGTATGGCAATATGTAAAAACGTGGATGTGTAACTGATGTGATTCTGCAATCTGTATACGGGGTAAAAATGGGAGTTCATAACCCACTTGAATCAAATGTATGAAATATGATATGTCAAGAGCTTTGTAATGTTTTGAACAACCAATAATAAAAAAAATAAAAGAAAAAGAAAGAGAGAAAGAGGGAGGGAGGAGGGAGGGAGGGAGAGAAGGAGGGAGGGAAGGAGGGAGGGAGGAAGGAAGGAAGGAGGAAAGAAAGAATGAAAGAAAGGAAGGAAGGAAGAAAGAGATGCATCTCAGTGGTAAAGCACCCTGGTTCAATACCCAGTACCAAAAAAAAAGAAAGAAAGAAAGTAAGTTAAAAATCACCTTTGAAAATTCTTGACTTAACTCCTGTTCACATGCCTTGGCCTGGTTAGTTTGGAGTTATCACATTCCATGGAGATGTGATATGCTCATAGTATGAGAGTTCTCTGGGAATGTGGCCAACCAAGGGGAAGGACAAATACATGCCTCTCCTGTACCTCCCTCCCATGGCAAGCTCATCCAGGACTTCACATGACTGAGCAGAATGTTGGGAGGAACTGCTTGCATTACTTATTTCCCTTGTGCCTTTTCTTTGGAACATTTTTTAAAATTTGTTTTTCTTAGTTGTTGACAGATCTTTATTTTATTCACTTATGTATATGTGGTACTGAGAATTGAACCCAGTGTCTCACACATGCCAAGGCAAGTGCTCTACCACTGAGCCACAACCCCAGCCCCTTCTTTGGAACATTTAAAGTTGAATTAAGTGCAAGTTAAATCATGCTTGGCTACTTCTGTGTCTCTACAGAAACTCCTGATATTCACGTCTTCCCACCAGCACCTCTAAACCACGGACAGCCATGGAGGCCAAGGGCTTCTGCGGAACCTCCCTTTACTGTTAAATCCACCCTCCTTTGGAGTCTCTGCTCATGCTCAGTAAAATACGGACACGATTGGGTTTTGCATGGGTCTTGCCATCCTCCCCAACCCAGGTACCTACACGAGGTCCCAAATGATGCAAGTCCCATCGGTGCTGGCAGTGACACACTCCTCGTTGTTCTTCTTCACCCGGATGCAGGACACAGAGGACTTGTGCTCCTTTAAGGACTCCTCCAGTTTCTGGGTCTGGCAACCTATCTGCCACACTCTCACCTGAAAGGTCCCAAGAGCATGCTCTCAATACCAATTGGGAACTTTGTTTCATTGTTTATTTTTGGTACTAGAGATGAAATTCATGGGATGCTTTACCACTAAGCCATGCTTCCAGCCCTTCTTATTTTTATCTTGAGGCATGGTCTCACTAAGTTGCTGAGGCTGGCCTCGGACTTACGATCCTCCTGCCTCAGCCTCCTGAGTTGTTAGGATTACAGGTATGTGCCACTGCAACGGGCTACAAACTTGGGACTTTGAAAGGGATCAAAAAAGATCCCAGGAGACTTTTCACCTGCTGTGTGTGTGTGACTTGGTTTTTGAATTTCCTTTTCTCCTCTTAGTTGGGTTAGAATGCTATACTGAAGGGCAGAAATATGCCCATGTAAGATGTGATCATCTCCCATGGAGCTTGGAATATACCACTAAGGATCCTATGCCTGTTTCTACTTTCAGGCTGAGAAATTTATCAGACACTCACTAGGAAAATCGATAATGCAAGGGCCTCTGCTAAACCCAGCAAGATATTATGTCTACTCATTTCTGCCGAACATTGCTCTCAAATTTCTGGTGCCATCAGGAAATTTCTTGGGTACCCGCAGCCACTTTTAAACATTCACATCAGCTGTTCAATTTTAATCATTTAAAACCCTACAAAACCCAGCACCCATTTTCTATAACAAATATTTAGTCCTGTCTGTTCTGAAATGAAATCCACAGGTAATACGACAACCTACACATATTTCTAAATAATAAACATGACACCCTAATTGGAATTTTAAAAACCATATATGAAAGTTCTTTAGTTATTATAGTAAGTCTTTTAATAGATAGAGGCTGTTACAACAACACCAGAGAACAGTAAGACAATCAGATGCTCACACCTTAGAACGAATATGATAGATTTATGAAAAAGAACAGAGAGCTAGGAATGACGTAGCTCAGTGGTAGAGTGCTATCCTGTGTGAGCTTTGGGTACCATTGTCAGAACCAGGGAGAAGGAGGAGAAGGAGGAGAGCACAACCATTGCATACACATCGTACAAGACAGGAAAAGAACAGTGGTCCAGGTGAACACTAGATGAAAAACTAGTGTTAGGATAAATAATTACAGATTGAACTTGATTGGACATGATAAGGGGAAATAGCCTTAATTGAAGTAATGAAAGCATTCTTAAGAGCTTCCTACATTGTCAAAGTAAAGAAAATGAAGCCAGGTGTGCTGGCTTGTACCTGTAATTTCTGCTACTCAGGAGACTGAGGCAGGAGGATCTCAGCTGGAGTCCAGCCTCATCAATTTAGAGAGAACCAGTCTCAAAATACAAAGGGCTAGGGATGGAGCTTAGTGGTAGAGCACTTGCCTAGCATGTGTGATACCCATTACTTGGGGGGGGGGGAATAGGAGTATCATTATCTTTACACTTCAGGAAACTGAGGCAGTGAGGTTAAAGCATGTGCCTAGGTCACACAGTGGAAGTGGAGAAGTGAAACTTGAGCCCCAGCATTCATCTGAGTCGCCTAAATTCTGCTAATGGCTCCCTCAAGATCTTTCTTCTCTCTGATAAATTCTTCCAATGAGAACTGAGAAAGGAGAAGAGAATGCCCAGTATAGACACAGGGAAGGATTTAGAAGTTTTTTTTAAATGGCTGGGGAATGGAGGGGAAGAGACCCTGACAGAATCAAGAAAGTGAAAGGTGTTTCAGATGCCTCGGAACGATGAAAGGAAAAGATGGAGTGTAATCCTTTCAAAACAATGGCCGGAATGTCTGGGGTATTAAAGAATTGATTCTAAAAATATCATCTGTGTTAAAAGATTTTTTAAAAAGTAACTGGGCATCATGGTTCACATCTGTAATCCCAGCTACACTGGAGGCCAAGGCAGGGGGATCACAAGTTTGAGGCCAATATCAGCAACTTAGTGAGACCCTGTTTCAAAATAAAAATTAAAAGAACTAGGGGTGTGGTTCAGGGGTAGAGCATCCCTGGGTTCAATCCCTGGTACCAAAAAGGAAAAAGAAAGTGGGGGTGGGGAGAAAGAGGGAGGGGAGAGAGAGAGAGAGAGAAGAAGAAGAAGAAGGAGGAGGAGGAGGAGGAGAGGAAGGAAGGAAGGAGAAAGAAAAGATAAAGTATACAACTATGGTTCTCAGAGGAAAGAACAAGTATGTGAATAAACCAATAAACCAGTTTGGATCCATTTGTATCCATAACTTGATTCCATATAGAGTGCTTTCATATTTGTACCTTAAAAAATATCCTGTATGTACACAAGTACATTGATGTCTATTTATGCTATTATAACTTTAATTGATGATATATTTTAGAGTCTCATCAAAATTCTAATTTGGCCCTGCCTGACTCCTAGTATAGGTACATGTTAAAAAATCAAATAGATGGTGTCCTATGAGTTAGTTACTCAAACTGATGGGGTTTTTTATAAATAATAATAATAATCTGTTTTCAAGAACAATACCTCCCCTTCCCCACCGCCACTGATGACCCTTTTACAGTCACTGGTGGTCGCGATGGCAGTCACTCCGATCCTGTGGGCGCTGTTAATGACATATATCAGCCGGCCCGTCTCGGGGGCGAAGGCGCGGATTTTCCCATCGTCCCAAGCTGGCGTGGGAGGAAGACAGAAAGAAGGCCTCAGGGTCAGCGCAGGCCCCCCTTCTGCAGACCGAGGCTCCCCTGCACCCTGAACCAGAGTCCGAGTGCAGAGGAGTGGTCTGGAGGGAAGGGACAGCCAGTCGCCACCTACTTCCAGGAACCAGAAGCCCTGATGCATCAACCACTCACACCTGGCTGAGGGAAAGGAGGGGTCCCTCCAGGTTGAACCTGCTCACAGGTGCGTCCCAGGCCAGGTGAGGGCAAGTGGGGAGAGGAGGGAGGAGGAAGGACGGCTCCCACCTCTCCATGAGCCACAGCCAAGCACACACAACTAGTCCATGTGATACCTGGGATGTCATTAATAATCCCCAAAGCTACCACCGGCTTGCCACCCACACCCCACCTTTAAATCTGATGTACCTCCCCACTTTCTTGCCATCTTTCCCATCTTAGTAAAAGTCTCCACCATCCTCCAGCCAGCTGCTTAAGCCCAGAACCTCGGGGTTATTCTTGATTCTTCTCTATCCAGCCACCCAACCTAATCTGACAGCCAGTCCATCTGCAAGTCCCATCCCCTCTACCGTTAAAAACACCATCTTTCAACCCCTCCACAGCACCTTATCCAAGCCACAGTCACCTCTCTCCTGGATTATTTTTACCAGTTTCCTCTCTGGCCTTTTAATTTGCTTCCAAGCAGTCATCTATAGATGAATTAACTGTCCCCCCCCCCATGACCTTTGTAAAACCAGGTCACCTTCCTGATCAAGAACATCTCAAAGTGCTTCTAACTGTACCTAGAATGAAAATCCAGATTCTTTATCCTGCATAGTCACTAGTAACAACCTACCCACCTCTTCCATCTCCCTGAGGCTCCACCCCAACTGTAATCACTAAGCTCCAGACACGCTGACTTCCTTGTTATTCCTCAAATATACCAAGTGACTTCCTACCCAGTGGCCTTTGCACTTGCTGTTCCCTCTGCCTGGAATGCCTCCCCCCCCCCCCATGTCTTTTCATGGCTGGAAACTTCTCATCAGCTTTAGTGTCACCTCTTGACCTTAGCAATTTGAAACAGGATGCTCAAGGTAGACAGATCCCATTACAGTGAAGATTTGAGGAAGTGAAAGCATGAGGGAGGAAACCTTGGGGGTGTTTGGGGGGAGTGACTTTTCATGAAGATCGAATGGCCAGAGAAAAGCCCTAAGCCTGATGTGTTTAAGGAAGACCAAAGAAGCAAGTATGGCTGGAGATGGGAGGCAGTAAGAAAAAAATCAGAGCTCCTGGTGCCTGTGATTTCAGGCTAGAGATTGTAATCCCAGCAGCTCGGGAGGCTGAGGCAGGAGGATTGCAAGTTCAAGGCCAGCCTTGGCAACTTAGCAAGACCTTGTATCAAAATAAAAAAAATAAGAAGGGCTGGGGGTGTAGCTCAGTGGTAAAGCAAAGCTCAGTTCAATCCCTGGTACAAAAAAAGAAAGAAGGAAGGAAGGAGGGAGGGAAGGGAGGGAGGGAAGGAGGGAGGGAGGAAAGGAAAGGAAAAGAAACCAAAGGCAAGAAGGTAGATGTGGGAGAGGAGAGAAGGTTGTGTACGGTCTTTGCAGTAACTACATCTGCCCAACCTACTGCTTCAGTCTTCTCTATATCAGTTTCCCTGAGCTCCCCCTGCCCCCAATTGAGACTTTGTCTTTCAGAGGGTAAAAGACTTTGGAGCCCTGTAAATGTCAATGATCTGAATTAACATTGCATTATGTTTCATTTTGCAGGGCTAGGGATTGGCAATCACTCTACCACTGAGCCATGCCCTAAGCCCTGACTTAGCATTTTAAGACAGATTTCTGGCTTCTGTGTTGAGAATAGACAGGGCAAGAGTTGAAGCAGAGAGCTCTGGTAGGAAGCTGCTGGAATCACTTCAGGGAGAGATGATGGTGGCTGAGATGAGGGTAGAGGTGAGAAGTGATGGAACTTTGATATACCTTCAAATGAGAGCCACCAGGGCAGGGATGTGGACCCAAGAGGAAAAGCAGAGGCAGTAACAGCTCCAAGATTTTTGTTTGCTTGTTTTGGTGCTAGGGAAAGCCAGGTTCTTGCTTGTACATAGAATATAAATTATCAATATATATGAGTTATCCATAAGTGCTCTACCACTGTGCTACCACCCCAGCCCACACTCCAAGGTGTCGGACCTGAGGATTTGTCAGCT